AAATGTAGTGCAGATCATTAAATTTTGTGGACATTTTCTATGATGAAAATCATTTATAAGGAGGTCTCTACCCTTAAAACTAGAATATTTATTGGATTAAATTTTTAATGCTAGAATTTTTATTAAATAGAAAAATGGCCTTTCTACAAACCAAAAAAGGCTAACATTATTAATATATAATATATATAAGTTAAAAAAAAAGTTTGCTTTTTAGAAATGATTTTTGATTAAAATCTCATTAATGCCCAAAGGATTTATTATATTTATTAAAAATATAATTCATTATTATTTTTTTAAAAAGAATATGTCAATCTGAGAAGATCTCGTTTTTTTATTCACATTCTTAAATTATTTGAAATATAGTTTAGAACTGTTAGTGCTTTTAATTCCATTCTATAATTTAATGTTAAAGCAAAATCTTTATTAATTTTAAATAAACATTATAAACATGGATATTTATTTATTTATTAACTTCTAATGAATGCTTCTTTTTTACATCAATAAAATCCATTGTCAAACTTTATAGTATATATACAGAGTGTATTCATTTTTATTTCTTTACATTGGTAAATGCGCCAAAGATGATATTTGTAGGCAATGATTTGGTTTGTTACTCAAGATAAAACCTGGCTCAAATATTTGAATAGCTCCAAGTAAGCTATGTTTAGACATGATTATGAAAAGTAATTTGACATCTCTATTAGAAAAGTTTGAGTGACTGGGCGTGTTGATGTCTGGATGCATGAAATGGCAGCCTTATAGGTTGTTGAGTCTGGGATTCTGCTACAAACATCCTAACGTTATGTCAAAGCAGTTGCCCTAGAGGTTATTGTTTATTTTTACTATTATCAGGGACACAACACCATTCCTTGCAATTATTACTGAACAATTTAGTGGCATAATGCAAAAATGCTTCTTTACTGATGTGGTACTAGATCTTTAGACACAGACATAACATGCTTGGCACCTGTAATGATGTGACTTGGCACAATGATAGCAAATCTTGCACCAAACATAATCATAAATGAAAATCAAAAGAGAGGACAAAGCATTTTAACATTTTTTAGTATCAGCACTTCTTACTATTACAATTAGTAGAAGCATAATCTAATAGATTTATGTTTCTACTTAGCTAGGTTATGTATCTACTATGACTAGGTTATGTATCTACTATAATTAGATTATGTATCTACTATGACTAGGTTATGTATCTACTATAATTAGATTATGTATCTACTATGTGACGAACGTTTTGCATTTGCCTCGTCATTCGAGTGACGTGTGTTTTGCGTTTGCCACGTCATTCGAATGACGTGTGTTTTGCGTTTGCCACGTCATTCGAGTGATGAATGTTTTGCATTTGCCTCGTCAAAGATGAGGCACGTAGTGCCGAATCGTTATCCTATTTGGAAACGCGAGGATGAGTCATGTAGTGCCGAATTGTTATCGTATTTGGTAACCCGAGGATGAGGCACGTAGTGCCGAATTGTTATCCTATTTGGAAACACGAGGATGAGGCACGTAGTGCCGAATTGTTATCCTATTTGGTAACCCGAGGATGAGGCACGTAGTGCCGAATCGTTATCTATTATGTTATCTTAGAATGAGGCACGTAGTGCCGAATTGTTAGCAGTTATTTTGTGTCCGTCAAAAGCATAATTTTTTATAATATATATCTGTAATAATTTTACTTTTGGCAGACACTGCTAGTATACTATGTTTTGCGATCCTAGAACTCTTTCTTGCATAGTTAATACTTTTGGCGGACACCAATTTTTTATAATATATATATCTGTAATAATTTTACTTTTGGCGGACACCAATTTTTTATAATATATATCTGTAATAATTTTACTTTTGGCGGACATCAATTTTTTTCGAATTATATAACTAAAATAGTATACATTTTGTGTCTATCCAAAGTACAACTATCCTGTCTATAATAATTATGCCTTGACCAGACACAAAAATGTCTTTATAAGTTGGGTATCTTCTATGGGATTTTTTCAAATATTGTTTTCAGATAGCACAAAAACCCCTTTGTATGGTTCAAGTACTAAGATAATAATTTTTGGTTTGAATTTTTTCTCACACTTATTTGTAAGAGGCGACAAAAACCCCTTTACCTAAAATGTATGGCTAGATAAATATAGTAATATACCCCAGCCAGAGTATATTATTGTTAGTTTTGCTAATATTAGTTTCATCACTTATACATATTCAATGATTGCTATAGATTTATTTTTCAGTTCTTTTTTATGCAAAGTAGTAGGAACTTTCATTTTAGCCTCAAAGTTTCGTTTATATTCCAAGAACTCGGCTTCATTCATACTTTCGCGCTCTTTTTTCCAGTAATTTTGGTTATCTGAAGATTTGTATTTTAATATAATAAAAAATGTCTGATGATTGTACTTGTCTATTCGGCCATGAGCCCGGTGAAATTTGTAGAGGAAGCAGTCCAATACCTGAGGAATGTAGTCATTGGAAAACTACAAGAAGCATGCCATGTAAAGTATGTGGTAAATTGACCTTTTCAACTTCTGGTCGATGCCTATTGCATATTAGAAGGTACTATGATAAACTTCGATTAAATGTTTGAAAACCTGATATAAAACAAGTGATGAAAAAAAAATAATTGCGTGAATGCTATTTAGTCATGCTCCGCAGACTATGAATAAATCTGATGTTACCTATCCAAAAACATATCGTTAAATGGTAGGTCAAGGTGTAGTCTTCTGCCATTTTTATATAATATATTTCCACACCCTACTAAGATACTTATATATTATTAATAATATTTTTTTTTCGTACATGAATAATATTGAAGTTCAAATAGATAGTCTCAGTTATCCGATCCACGTATCCAGTAACCGATCATGTTTTTTACTTATATTCCATGTACGTCTCAATACCACGAACCACATAACTGCGATAATTAATAGAATAAGACAAATATATGCTGATAAAGGTGACATTAAGGTACTTGCCACAATGGGAAGAGGCAAAGCCTCGAGACTAGGTCTCATCTGGGGATTCGATTCAGGCCCTATGGGGCATTTGTTGAATATCAAAGAGGGAGTATGTGTCAAAGACACTGGGCTCTGCCCATAATTTTCCTGTTGTGCAAGGTACGGGGCCACGTTTTTTATCTCCTGGGTTGGGAATATATCTTTATTAGTTTTGCTAATATCGATTTCATCACTTACCTTGGGAATAATCTCAGTATTTACTCTCGGAGATTTGGGTATAGGAGTACTTTCATCATCAGTGTAATCCGGTATAATAGTATCAATTTTTCCAGCTCGATCCATACTTTTTTCACGTATAAAATATTGGCTGAGATCTTTACTAGGTTCAATAACTGCAGATATATTACTAGACTTAGTCATATTTTTTTCGTCGTCTCCACCAATTATAGGTTTTGATATAGCCTCCGATTTCAGACGCTCAAGTTCATTGACCTTCAATTCCAATTCGCTCTGTATATTTTCTAATTCTGCTATTTTGGATTTGAGAGAAAATATCTCAGATTCTTTTTTTAATGAGTCATTTTGAATCGAAATCACATCTTTCTGGGCTGAAGACAACTTACCTTCCAATATCTCGATCATAGACTCAAGCGAACTGATTTTCTTAGATTTCGTATCATTCTCAGCCTTGGATTCAGCAAGAGAAAGATCTTTACGAATATTCTCGGAGGTAAGATTAGTGTTTTCAATTTTCAACTGCTTAGTCTCACCAATGAGTTCTAAAGCGTGGGTATGTAACTTTTGTTTATCACTAGTAACATTACTAAATGCACTTTCCCATTGCTTCCTTTCCTGATTCCATTCCTTTCTCTCCCGATCAAAATTCTTCACTTGTTTAGAATATTTATTCTGTAATTTCTCGCTAAGATCATTGACTTCGGACTTGGATTCGAGAGCAGTATATAACTTCTTTTCTAGCTCTTGCTCACGCATACTACCAAGTCGATGGCCTTTATTGATATCTTGTAGTGTACGCACATTGGTCATATTAAATAATAAATACTTTATTAAAAAAACATCTTTCAAAAAATCAATAGGTATTGATATTTATAGATGTGATAGTAGTAATACATATTAATAAGTAATGATATCATATCAATGAGTATCGGTATTTATCAATAAGTATCAGTATTATATTACATATCAATAAACATCGCTATATATCAATAAGTATCAGTAGTATATCAATAAGATTCAATAAGTATTGGTATTATATCAATAAGATTCAATAAATATTGAAAAAATATCGATGTTTTTTTTCTAAAATATATATTAACATAAAATGGTTACCCGTATTCATCAAACCTTCTATCGATCTAATGCGACCCAATTATCAGAATCTGATATTAAGGAAATCAGAGATTCGAGGGGAAAAATACCAAATGCATCAAAGAAAATGGCAGAAAAATTTCATATTGGTGCTCGTCGTGTATATGAAATATGGGAATATACTGAACGTCTTCAACAAGGTCTTGACCATGTCAGCTTTTCAGCTGATGAATCACAAAATATAGAGGCTTCAGTTATAAAATCGTCAATAAAAAAGAGAAGTTCCAAATCTCGGTCTAAATCCGCTCGCATATCCGATCCAATACCTAGTAATAATTCTAATATAGTAGTATCCACACTTAATAAGACAGAAAAAATAAGTAGTGAGGATCTAGATGCATTATATGAAAAAGATCTCAGAAGAGATGAGAAAAATAAAGCAAACATGACTCGCCTATTAGCTACTACTTAGTCTATCTTTTCTTTATTTATGCTATCATTTCTAGAGGAGATATATTCAGATGCGGAAACATCTTTACTCCGTAAGAGTAACTTTTCATAACGCATTTGCAACTTTTCACAAAGATCATTTATTTCAGCCTTAGACTTGAGAGTAATATATAGTGATTTTTCTAATTCCTCATAGCTCATGCGTTTTTTTTTTAACTCTGTATCCGTCTCTTCAGAAATAGATGGAATTGCATTAACATGATGTACCTCAAGCTCATTTTCAACCTTGTGCATAGTAACTGGGATGATGAAATCTTTTCCATTACAATGAAGCTTCATTTCGGATTTAGCCCAATCCATCGCACAATCATGTTTTTTAAGGAAGGGATTACTCAATATAAC